TGTTCCTGCCAGAAATCATTAGATCACTGGTTTCTATTGAAAAGCTCAATAACAAGTTTGCCAGATTTTAAATGAGCTCTGGTGTGCATCAGTTTTAATTCAGTTTTAATCAGAGAAACTCCACTGTTATTCTCTAGCTCTCCTCCTTCCTCCAACCTCTTTATGCAATCTGCTCTCCTTTTGTGCATTGTTGCCTGGTGTGCATGAGTTCTGCGATTAGCAGGTGTTTCTGCTGCTGCTGACTCTGAACCGACTCATGGTGTCTCTCATGGGCCACCGTATAGCACGCTTTAAACCCAAAGTGGATTAATGGGTCAGTTTGGTAAAGTTCATCCAGGGTTCAAGTTACAGTTCAGATAAGGTTCAGCCGAGCCGGAGGGGAGGAGGGAGAGCCGGAGCCGCTCTGCTGGAAAATACATAAGAGAGACAGAAACACAGAACAAAGATACAAACACAGAAGCATAAAAACAGAACAGAGTTACAATCACAGAAGCATAAAAACAGAACAGATATAGAAACACAGAACAAGAAAAAACAAAAAAGACAATAAAAAGACAGTGCCATAAAATCAGAGACACAAATAGAGAACCATTAAAACAGATGCAGATGGTGCAGTGGTTAGCAGTGAAGGTTCTTACCCGCTACCTTCTGGCTGAGGCCTTTCATGTTCTCCCCGTTTCTGTGTCTTGCTCCGACTTCCTCCCAAAGTCCAACAACATGCAGGTTAATTGCTGACCGTAGGTGTTGTTTGTCTCTGTGTGTCAGCCCTGTGATGAACGAGATGTCCAGGGTGTACAGCACACCGAAACCCTGCAAAGAATACACAGTTATAGATTGGGGATTTGTGGGGCTGTGTTTCACTTCAGCGAATGGGACTATGCAGTCAGAGCTCCGGTCAAGTGATTCAGTAAAAGTATTGCTTGCACAAATATTTTTATTAATTGATTTCATACTCTGAAAAGAACTGATTTGTCCATCGCTACACAGCATGAGTTTGTAATGACCGAAGAGCCTGTGATAATTCATGAATTCAAAGAACATTTTTGTCTTTAATTGACCCTTCGGGAAGCGATGCCCCTTAGTTACTGTTGCTATCGGCTGCCACTGTCTATTACTGCATTCCCCGGAGAAATATTGTCTAATTTTTGGAAAAAGTGATCTCAGAAATAAGCAGACAGTTTTGCAGTTGCATTGTGCATTTTAAGGTTGTTTTGATGCTGTCAAACTGACTTAGACTGACGTTAAATAAATAAAGACAGAAGCTAAAGCCAACTGATCACAGAGTAAAAGTGAACCAACGTATTATTATTGACAATTGAGAAAGAGGACAACGATATTAAGGATTAACTCTGTTCCTGTACAGCTGGGTAGGTCTCTATTCGCTATTACAATCATTAAAAAGCAGAACAGTAAGAAGGGTCAATTGTCACCCATTTATACAGATTTTTGGAAGATAAAATGTGTGTGTGTTTGTGTATTGCAAAGCATGGCAGCTTTAGCATAAAGCCAGTTACTAGTTTCTATTTCTAGGGGTTTTTTTACCATTAGTGTTAATTTAATCCCTCAGAGTCAGATCAGCTTTACAGCTCTTAATCAACATGTTTCATTGAAGCAATCAAAACCCAAACTGTCTGTATGTCTATGTGAATGTCTCAGTGTAGAAACAATCTGCTGTTTATTGATAATAACTGGACAGAAACTCCAGCTGTGTGAAGCAGCGGAGTTTCCTCTGAAATAAAGATTATGGAAGTGGTAAATTATGTAACACATGGTGTTCGTTTGTACCGCCGCTGCTGGGACCTGGTGATCGACTTGAGGCGGGTGCAGCATCTGACTTATTCATGAATTTGCAGCTGGAGCTGCGGAACAGTTGCGCTCCCGAGATGCTGGAGCTCAGCGCTGCTTTAGCTCCTTGACCCCCTCAGCCAGGATTTAGCTGCAGGATTTAACTAAGGTTGTGAGGTGTAATTAACGATTTGAGGTCAAAGAATGATTTGGAGCCTCTGAGGGTCTCCTTAAACAAGGAAATTGAGTAGAAAGAGTGAGTGTGAGGACGTCGCCAGACTTTTGAAGACGAGAAAGCCATTCAACTTGAGTCCTGGAAGCAGCAGATGGACATCTTGCACCAACAGGGAGACTACAGATCAGAAGAAATGCGGTGGATTAAAAGGAGCATGAGAACAACGACCAGGCCTGGGAATTTAAATAGAACACCTGGCTTGCAAGAAATTAGAGAACCTAGAATTAATCATTAACATAGACTAACCATGTTCCGTACACTTTGTGCACATCTTCACCACACTCCAATGACCACTGCTCTGTAGTTGAGCGCTCATTCCCTGGGGGAATACCCATTGGATGGTTTATTTTTTTGACTGATGTGTTTGGGACTGTAGTATTTGAGAAAAGTGGGGGAAAAGTACCTCCTCCATCTGTGTACGGATGTTAACAAGGGTTCACGGTGTTCCGTACAGACCACATAACCTGATTTCAATGACAAAAATGGACGTTACATGTCATGCCATCATTTGTGAGTCTTTTGTGGGTCTGTTTCTTGGTCGGGGAGAAAAGAGGGAGAAATGATGATGATGATGATGACACCCATACATAGTTTAACTATAACCTGGAAATATTTATTCAGCGATCGGCGGGAAAAGGTCATCTGTATGGAATATCGTGTAAGGAACATAGCTGGTCTACGTTACATTACTCAAGAGGATCTGCAAGTGCGAGCATCAGATGAGCATCAAACTTTACTAAATGGCTGTGGCTGAAAATGGCAAACGAAGACATTATGCACATGAAAAACGTGCAAAGCAACAAAAAGAACAGACCTTCAGTGCAGTAGACGGCCCCGTCCACTGAACAGTACTTAACACATCGCTCTCAGCCCCACCGTCCAACACAACACCAAGCAGGTTTTCCATAGAGCTAGAGCTGAAGGTTGTTCAGTCTGTCTCTTAGAAAGTGCTTTTAAGGTTATGAAGGAAATACTAATGCTACAGCAACCGCTAGCTACTGCTAACTGCAGCTGCTATTATCAGCTGACTCCGCTTCTCTCTCTTCATCTCCCTGCAGTGTAAACACACCCACGTATGCACCAAGCTTCCAGTCCGGGCAGCTAAGAGGACGGCTAGCTGCACGGATAACTGAGCTAACTAGCTAGAGGCAACTACCGTTAGCAGTAGTTAGCGGCTAAAGTAACTGCTATGAACAATTAAAGCTATCTGTCCATCAGAAAATTTCCGAAAGTTGAGGCAGAGCAGATGGAGAACATCAGAGGGAAAATCAGCCAATATTTTCACAATCAAATCTGATCCAGTTGTGTTTTTGTACTGTAATCCGTGAGACCTAGTCTCACATAGCCATAACCCATCTCCATACATCGATTCAGCAGCACTGTGCCAGCTAGTTCTTGCCCCTCCGGAGGCTTCCAGAAGTTGGCCAATCAGAAAAAAGTGGGAAGAGGGCCTTAAAGAGACAGGAGCTAAAACGGAGGGTTCAGACAGATGGTGAATAGCGATGCTTAAGCAACGTGGGGAAAAAGGTGTTTTTTGAACATTGAAGCATGTCAACATTTTCTACTAGAAAACCAAAATATAAGTATAAACCTTAAAATGAGCAAAAATATTGGACCTTTAAGGCCTCTGAGAGTCAGAAGGCATACTTGGTTGCAGTACAGGAGATACAAAAGATGGTCTACCATTAAACATGGGACAAAGGTTCCCAGTGCAAAGGAACAAGGTTCTCCTGTGGTCACTCTGTTCTTTTGTACGGCCTACAGTAAACTAGACTTGAAAGTTGATAATCATGACCTAAAACCAATAGTAACATGTGAAAGCATTTTGGATTTGACCACACTGATGAAATATTCACAGAGTAGCATTTACATTAAATCAAACAAATTACATGATCTTTTATAAAAGAAAGCCAAATCACAGGTAAATTGTATAACCAAAAGTTGTGAGACTGTCCTCTCACAAAAAGCTAAACTGAATGTTAGAGTGGATGATCAAATCAGCAAAGTACATAACTTGA